TTGGAAAGAAGAGTACACTGTAGTATAAAATATTTATTATGTGTGCAGAAAATTGAGATCAACGAAGAGGATATTTTACCCTCAACCATTCTTCACAAATACACACAATCAAACATGCATTAAAATTGTATTCAAAACTGAATTTCTCTTTAGTAAGGATTTGGGGATCCTGAAAAGGACCGTTTAGTGTGTAGAAGTTAAGTTTGCTTCTTATCCAGCCTGCATCATGGATGAAGTTGAAGAAATCCAGAACGGAAGACTGCTGCTTCACCTTCAAACCATATCATCATCAGAGTAGAAGGAATATTCAGATTCAGCATCAGAGTCCTGAGACTCCATTTGGTCAACTTTGCTCTTGAGTTCCTCAACTACAGCAGCCATCTCAGTTGCATAGTGGTAGAACATCATCTTCATGTTGCTGAGAGTAGATAGTTGTAGTCGCAGAGAGTAGCGCTGAGCCTCTCTTTGGTTCTGCTTTGCTCGCTGGTAGCGGATCTCCAAATTCTTAGCTCTGTCATCAATCAGCAGCAGTTGGTCACAGGCCCTGAGGAACTTTCTGTATGCAACATCAAGCTGCTCAGTGGTTTGCTCCCGATCAGAGTGTTGTTCTCTCTCTGGCACTCCATAGGCTTGCGATTCTTGCATTGAGTAGGAATCCATTTTGATTGTGTGTTTAGAGTTGTGATGTGATTGCTAGGCAAGTCAGATCAGTAATGATTTCAACAAGACTGTAACCAGCATTTATATCATTTTACAGGAAACTAATGCCACTTCAAAAAACATTGACATCAGACAGTTTAAAACTTCAAACAAATATTTCAAAGTTGGACATCAGACAGTTTAAAACTTGAAACAGTTCAAACATTGACATCAGACAGTTTAAAACTTGAAACAGTTCAAACATTGACATCAGACAGTTTAAAACTTCAAACATTGACATCAGACTGTTTAAAACTTCAAAACAAAATAGTTGAAACACTGAATACAAACAGTTGAAAATTTCAAAGAAACCATTTAGAATACATCAAAATCTGATCCACCAATGAATACTCATATAATGATTTAAGTTGAGTTTGTAAATTAAATTTTTATATGTATGATATTTTTACCATGTAGACTGTAGGTAATTTGAGCATGTTTGGCTTGCTCTTTTCAGGGAAGAAATAAACATTAATTGGTCTTTGGTTGACACACTTTTTGCATTAATTTTTCATAGTATGTTACCTTATATACACTTTTTGGTGTTTTCCCCATTCAACCAATTAAATGTGCTTACAGATGTATTTTGTTCATCAATCCTATAAAACCTGTCTATTGAAAATGCAACTGAGACCAGCTAAAAGCATTTGGATTAGGAGGTGTTTACATTTCAAGCTTTTTGCATTAGCAGGATTCAGAATGTGAACATATAAATAATCAATAATCATCAATAAATATTTATAGATCCAGTTTTATGGCATGAAGTTTCGTACGAGCAATTTCATAAGAAACATGTGCTGTTTTGTAAAAGGTTTTCAGATTAGACAGGTTAATTTTTCAAATAAGACCGTACACTGTTCAAACTGGAAGTGTTCACAAGTTTTTTCAACATGGAAGTCAATTGGAAGAAATAATGAGAGAAAAACAAGTGTTCAGATTGGGAGGTATTCAGATTTGCCAGGTGTTCAGATATACAGGTTGAACTGTATTTACTAATCAATAGAGCCTCTTTAACTTGGGCAGGAGAGTACACTGTAGTATAAAATATATAAAGTATAAAATATATTTATTATGTGTGCAGAAAATTGAGATCAACGAAGAGGACATTTTACCCTCAACCATTCTTCACAAATACACACAATCAAACATGCATTAAAATTGTATTCAAAACTTAATTTCTCTTTAGTAAGGATTTGGGGGTCCTGAAAAGGACTGTTTAGATTGTAGAACTCTGTAAGTGAAGTTAGCTTCTTTTCCAGCCTTCCCCATAGATGATGTTAAAGAAATCCTGTTTTTGAGACTGTTGCTTCACTCTTGAACTGTATCATCATCAGAGTAGAAGGAATATTCAGATTCAGCATCAGAGTCCTGAGACTCCATTTGGTCAACTTTGCTCTTGAGCTCTTCAACTACAGCAGCCATCTCAGTTGCATAGAGGTAGAACATCATCTTCATGTTGCTGAGAGTGGATAGTTGTAGTCGCACGGAGTAGCGATGAGCCTCACTCTGTTTCTGCTTGGCTCGCTGGTAGCGAATCTCCAAATTCTTGGCTCTGTCATCAATCAGTAGCAGTTGGTCACAGGCTCTGAGGAACTTTCTGTATGCAACGTCAAGCTGCTCAGTGGTTTGCTCCCAATCAGAGTATTGTTCTCTCTCTGGCACTCCGTATACTTCAGATTCTTGTATTGAGTAGGAATCCATTGTGGTTGTGTGTTTAGAGTTGTGATGTGATTGTTAGGCAAGTCAGATCAGTAATGATTTCAACAAGACTGTAACCAGCATTTATATTATATCATTTTACAGGAAACTAATGCCACTTCAAAAAAAAACATTGACATCAGACAGTTTAAAACTTCAAACAAATATTTCAAACTTGGACATCAGACAGTTTAAAACTTGAAACAGTTCAAACATTGACATCAGACAGTTTAAAACTTGAAACAGTTCAAACATTGACATTAGACAGTTTAAAACTTCAAACATTGACATCAGACTGTTTAAAACTTCAAACAAAATAGTTGAAACACTGAATTCAAACAGTTGAAAATTTCAAAGAAACCATTTAGAATACATCAAAATCTGATCCACTAATGAATACTCATATAATGATTTAAGTTGAGTTTGTAAATTAAACTTTTTATATGTATGATATTTTTACCATGTAGACTGTTGGTAGAATTTGAGCATGTTTGGCTTGCTCTTTTCAAGGAAGAAATAAACATTAATTGGTCTTTGGTTGACACACTTTTTGCATTAATTTTTCATGGTATGTTACCTTATATACACTTTTTGGTGTTTTCCCCATTCAACCAATTAAATGTGCTTACAGATGTATTTTGTTCATCAATCCTATAAAACCTGTCTATTGAAAATGCAACTGGGTCCTTAAAAAGCATTTGGATTAGGAGGTGTTTCCATTTCAAGCTTTTTGCATTAGCAGGATTCAGAATGTGAATATATAAATAATCAATAAATATTTATAGATCCAGTTTTATGGCATGAAGTTTCGTAACAGCAATTTCTTAAGAAACATGTGCTGTTTTGTAAAAAGTGTTCTGATTGGACAGGTTAATTTTTCAAATAAGACTGTACACTGTTCAAATTGGAAGTGTTCACAAGTATTTTTAACATGGAAGTCAATTGGAAGAAATAATGAGAGCAAAAAAGTGTTCAGATTGGGAGGTATTCAGATTTGCCAGGTGTTCAGATATACAGGTTTAACTGTATTTAGTAATCAGATGAGCCTCTTTAACTTGGACAGCAGAGTACACTGTAGTATAAAATATAAAATATATAAAGTATAAAATATATTTATTATGTGTGCAGAAAATTGAGATCAACGAAGAGGACATTTTACCCTCAACCATTCTTCACAAATGCACACAATCAAACATGCATTAAAATTGTATTCAAAACTTAATTTCTCTTTAGAAAGGATTTGGGGGTCCTGAAAAGGACCGTTCAAATTGAAGAACTCTGTTAGCTTCTTTTCCAGTTTTCCTCATACTAGATGATGTTGAAGAAATCCTGTTCTTGAGACTGCTGCTTCAACCATAAACCATACCATCATCAGAGTAGAAAGAATATTCAGATTCAACATCGGAATCATGAGACTCCAACTGGTCAACTTTGCTCTTGAGCTTTTCAACTACAGCAGCCATCTCAGTTGCATAGTGGTAGAACATCATCTTCATGTTGCTGAGAGTAGAAAGTTGTAGTCGCAGAGAGTAGCGATGAGCCTCACTCTGGTTCTGCTTGGCTCGCTGGTAGCGGATCTCCAAATTCTTTGCTCTGTCATCAATCAGTAGCAGTTGGTCACAGGCCCTGAGGAACTTTCTGTATGCAACATCAAGCTGCTCAGTGGTTTGCTCCCGATCAGAGAATTGTTCTCTCTCTGGCACTCCGTAGACTTCAACTTCTTGCATTGAGTAGGAATCCATTGTGGTTGTGTGTTTAGAGTTGTGATGTGATTGTTAGGCAAGTCAGATCAGTAATGACTTCAACTAGACTGCAAACAATATTTATATCATTTTACAGCATACTAATCCCACTTCAAAAACATTGACATCAAGCAGTTTAAAACATCAAACCATTGTCAAACACTGACATCAGACAGTTTAAAACATCAAACAAACATTCCAAACAATGACATCAGACAGTTTAAAACATCAAACAAAAATTCCAAACAACGACATCAGACAGTTTAAAACATCAAACAATTATATCAGACAATGACTCCAAACAAACATTTCAAGCAATGTTAAGGCAGTTTTAAACATCAATCAGTTCAAATATTGACACCAGGCTGTTTTAAAACTTCAAACATTGACATCAAACTTCAATCAAAACAATTCAAACATTGACATCAGACAGCTAAAAACCATGAACAAAAGATTTCAAACATGCATATCAAACAGTTAGACCACTAATCTCAGACAGTTTATAACATCTTACATCAACCTTAAAAATTTGAGAAAAACTATTGTTGGCAGACATTTTAAAACACTGATATCAAATTGTTTTAACTTTTAAAAATTTAAAACTGCAAAGTAATAAAAAGTCTAAAAAGCTGTTTGAGTCTTATTCTCTAATAACTTCTAGCAATCTGGGTATCATTGTTACACTTATTCACTAATTTTCAAAAACATAAATGACAGACTAACCAGTGAACTTTTTATATTGATAAAAATATTTATTTTTTAACAATTTATCAACATCTGAAACAAAATTGGGAATGTTTATGTTGTTTGTTTTTTTTACTACTGTAATCACATTTATTGACCATCATAAATCCAAACAATGTGGGAATTTCTTAGGAGCTATTAAAGCTATAATCACTATTCCTCTTAATTGCATGTGATTTATGGTGATTACCACTTTAAGTACACCCATCAAGCATCATATGATTTATTCTGTTATTATCACTTTAAGTAAACCCATCAAGCATCATATGATTTATGATGTTATCACCACTTTTAAGTACATCCATCAAACAGTGTATGATTTATGGTGTTATTACCACTTTAGGTACATCCATCAAGCTTAATATGATTTATAGTGTCATTACCACTTTAAGTACATCCATCAAGCATAATATGATTTACAGTGTCATTACCACTTTAAGTACATCCATCAAGCATTATATGATTTATTGTGTTATTACCACTTTAAGTACACCCATCAAGCATCATACATTCTTGATGCAGGTGTGTCACCGTAACTATCCAAACTAGAATCACTATTTTTTCGATGTCTTACATGGTTACCAAATCTTGGAATACCACAGATTGTTTCCCCTACACATGTGCCGTCCCATTGGTGGTCACTCACACAACACATGACGTCTCTCATCCACTTGATACAAATTGAACAAGGGAAGAAACAACAGACCAATCCCCACATTCCCGCCAGGGTCAGCATGGTGCATGAGTTATCCTTATCCCAGGGGTAGTACCACCTTGGATCTGCTCCCATGCACCAGTAATCGTAACATGCCCCCCTGTTGACTCCATCTCTATTATTAGCACAATCTCTATCCAGTTGATTTGACCCAGGTGGTTTAATATATTGATTTTGTTGAGCATTTTGATTCAAATCATGTCTTTGGACAGTTTGGTATTCTTTCCCGATTTCAGGATTCAAAGACCTATCTTTTACAAATTGTTTGTTTACAACATCAGCTTTTTGTTGATCATTGTGCTCATCTTCATCGTCAAAATATTCAATGTCTGGCAGTGGAGGTTCCTCAGTAGATTCACCTTTGATAGTTTTGTCTTCACTTTTACAAACTTCATTGTCAATGTCTTGAATTCTCTGAATCTCACTGACTTTCCTTGTATCATCATTGTCTTTAACCCCATGATTTGAGTCATCTGTTAGATCACATATTTCATTCCCTTTATCAGGTAGGCCTGGAGCATTAATTCCATTTCCATGGTTGAACTTTGTCTCTTTGTCATCTTTTATATTTTTCTCAATGAAATTTTGTCTTTCAATCAGATCTTCATCTGTGATTTCCTGTATATTATCTTTTGGATGATCCATCTCTCTATGTATAACGTCCACTGGTGGATCTACATTTACATGTGTGATTTCTCTAACATTATTTTAAAATAGCCAGCTTGACTGTTCATTGTAGGAATAAGCCAATAATACATGTACTGTTGGTCATACTGCGGGTTACCAAGAAATATGAGAGTAATCAATAGGATTTAGCGTATTGTATAAATAAAACCAATTTGTATTTACATGTACTTTGTATTCTAAGACAATTTTGCTATTTTATACAGGAACACTGGTTGGATAAAGAGCGATTTGCTATATTAAGTATTTAACTTAAAGGGGCAATATAACATAATAATAAAAGAAAGTGTTTTTATATTTCATTATTTTTGATGTTTTCAATATAATTTTATGAGGTCTTCAAAATTTTACGATATTTCAGCAATGTTTCGTAGTGTTGCTTTGAGGTCAAATTAGGATTTGCGATTTGTAGTTTGTCTGCTAGTCTTAAAAGAGAAATCTTCTCAAAAAAACAACATTTTGTTAAGCATACATGTAATTGTGTAATTGTGTTTGCAACTTCATGTTTAGTTTATCTCTTAGCATCTAATTCATAAATGTCCAATTTTTAGATGAGATTTGGCGTTGTTTGAAATTTTTACATGAAGTTATTAACTATCTGACTTCAAATATTGTCTATCGTATTTAATTAGCTTCCACTTCAAAAATATTTATTTTTGGTCCTTTCCCAAAGGAACTTGTACATACATGTATGATATTTTTTATATGAAGGTTGTAAACTATATGTATTAGACTTCAGAAGTTACCCTTCAATATTGATGTTAATATTTGATGTTTTGTTTCAGACATCATAGGATTAAGATTATTAGATTAAGATGTTTGAAACTCTTTGATGTCAATGCTACAACTTTTAAGCCAATGTCAATGTTTGAGATTATTGTTCTTAATCTTTTAAACTGCCTAATGTCAGATCCTGTTTAATGTGGTAATACCTTACTGATCCCTCTTGATTAATATAAATATTTTTAGCAGTCTTGTTGAAGTCATTACTGAGCTGACTTGCCTAGCAATCACATCACAACTCTAAACACACAAACACAATGGATTCCTATATGCAAGAATCTGATATCGATAGGGTTTCAGAAAAAGAACAGAAACTCAATCTTGAGCAAACCACTGAACAACTCCATGGTGCCTACGAAACATTTGTCAGGGCTTGTGATCAGGTACTACTGATTGATGACCAAGTCAAAATGGTAAAGTTACAATTCAGAAGAGCCAAACAGGACCAGAACTTGAGAGATGCTCATCGCTACTCACTGCGACTGCAACTATCCACTCTCAGCAACATGAAGATGATGTTCTACCACTATGCCACTGAGATGGCTGCTGTAGTTGAGGAGCTCAAGAGCAAAGTTGATCAGCTGGAGTCTCAGGATTCTGACGCTGAATCTGAATATTCCTTCTATGCTGACCACCAGGATGAAGAAATGCAACAGTGAAAAAAGAAACAAAATTACACAAAACGGTCCTTTTCAGGACCACAAATTTTAACAAAAGAGATATTTAAAGATGAATGCTATATTTGATGGATGACTGTGTTTTTGTGTGGTTGATATGCAGTATAAATCGGTAAAAAATTATATCAATTTTTTTTATTTTCTGCCATTTTAGCCATCATTCACTTTTGAGCAACACCATTTGAGCACAGTACCCACGGTACTATTTATAGGCAGAAATGCATTGCAATTCATAAACAAAATAAATAGTACTGTGGGTTCTGTGCTCAAATGGTGTTGCTCAAAAGTGAATGATGGCTAAAATGGCAGGAAATAAAAAAAATGGATTTAATTTTTTACAGATTTTTTTGTAGCAAAATTATTGCATACAACTGCTTTTTACAGTGACATCACGGTGTATAACCCAAACGCTCCTACATGCACGACGGAGCGTTACATTTACGCGGAAACGCTCCGGAGCGAAATAAAATGGCGGCTAATGAAGATTCTACTATGACCGTAAGTATTGTTTCTCTCATTTCTCTTACATATCATATGTCATGGTGAAATATTATGTACCATTCGATGAACAATACTGTGAGCAAAGATCTTATTTATTCAACTTCTGGTGGTAATAAACTGTTATTTGCTTGATCAAAGCTCCGCAGTGTAGATCGAACAAATCTGAAGATGATGATTTGACCACAAATTACGAATTAAACTAGTATTTCTATGAAAACGTTAATCTTTCTGTTTAAGTAGTAGATCACAAACTCGTATATTCTCATTTCCTAAAATCCCAGTCCAAATCCATTACTTGTTCTCGAGAAATCGCTTGTTTTCCTCGAAACGCTCCGTCGATTTAGACCACAATTTTAGAAACGCTCTTACCATTTTGTTTTGATATCATTTTCAGATTATTAGAGAAGAGTTCCGAATCGAATCTATCTCTCAAAAACGTGTTGTACTTGTTAGGCAAATTGAAACATCTGAACCTGGTGGTGCTAAACGTGCAACTAGCTGATTAAAGCCTATACATTAGATGATGTCATGCCTACATATGTGCTAAATCATAAAACTATAGAAAAAAAACGAAAAGTTACATGTGAATTAATCTTTCTTCTATTGATGCCAAGGGGTATAATAGATCTTTTCTTTCTCTTCCTGAAAAGGAAAGGCAAGCTATATATTTCCTTAACTGATCTAGACTACCGGAGCGTTTCCAATTCACTGTGTTATCCAGATCGGAGCGTTTCTTGAATATGAGAATGTCATCATTTTTAAGACTGGATTTTCGGTCATCAAATCACTATTACGATAATGTATGGTGCGTTGAAGCATTGGAATTTGACAAAAATATACGTTGGTGCTCTAATCTTGGCTCAACTAATCACATGTATCGACAAAAGGGGTTTTGACCGGTAGAATGACAAATACGTTTTTGAATTTTGATAACTATACTGCTTCGTACAGCTCTTCCCAATTGCTTCAAACGTCAACAGCCAGCCACGTACAACATGAATATCACACCCATCGAATGGTATACTCGAAATATGTAACTCATACCTCTTATTCCCATTATTGGGGAAATTGTCAGACGGCTCATCATTCCCGCCAGACAGCTTTCCTACTCCGGAGCGTTTCTTTGTTTAATTTCAGTGATGAAACGCTCCGTCGTGTATGTAGGAGCGTTTGGGTTATACACCGTGGACATGGGATTTTACGATGAAGGACACCTGAAATTATTTTTAAAGCTAGCAAATGGTCAAAAAGTGAATTTCGCGCGACCATTTTGAAAATAGGCGAGCTTTTGAACCAGGAGTCAAAAGGTAAGTTTTCTGTATTGATGCAAAACAAAAATAACTTAAAACGGGAATCCTCAACAGCGGTTTTAAAGCAAATGGTCCAAAGGTGAATTTCGCAAGACAAACATAGCATCCATTTTGAAAATATACGAGCTTTTGAACCAGGAGTCATACAGGTTTTTTTTATATTGATGTTGAACGAAAATAATTTAAAACAGGAATCACATCGACAGAGGATTGACAGAGGAGCTAAAAACTGAAATATCTTCTATAAAAATTAGCAAGGCTTCATAGGAGACATAATTCACTTCTTTGAAAATCAATGAAGGATCAATATGATACTGACAAATCTTCCTCTCTTTAATATTTGCAAAGGTTTATATAAAACTGAAATGTATATGAATATTAAAAATCTGCAAGGGTTTGTTTGAAATTGAAATATCTTCCTCCCATAAAAAAATTACAAGGGTTTGTTTGATACTGTAACATCTTTTAGATATTTTATAAATCAGTTTATATGAAAAGGAAATATTTGCAAGGGTGGCCTGTTCATTAGAAATTCATGCTATATCAGATTTCATTACACATGTTCTAGCAGTTCAGCATTATACATGCAGTCTGTTTATCAGTACAGACAGTAAGTAGTGGATAGTAAGCTAGAAGCACATATTTAACACAAATAAGACCATAATAAGGAAGAAGAGCCTTTTTCCAATTGGTGTATAGTACAACAACAATCAGGTGAGCATATCTTGACATTTGACTTGCCAGAGAGTACTGATGAGCACAGGGACATGGGGGAGGCTTGACCGTAGCCAGCTTTTACCAGGAAAGGGAGCTTTTTTCCAGGGGGGGGGGAGCTTTTTTACAATTTTGGCTAAAAATCATGCAAAAAATTCTCAGAATGGTGAAAAACTGCTCCCCCAGCTCCCCCTCTGGCTACGGGCCTGGGGGGAGGGGTTATTCAATCATGATGTTTTTAAGAAAATTAGCCGCTAAGTGTGTTAGTGAGCCTGTGGAAAGAGGGGCTTTGTCACTTAATCATGTCAGGTGGCATTACATCTTATTTGCATGATACTAACCAGAATTAATTTCACATTTTACGTCCTTCACTAGGGCAGAGCATTTGTACTGAAAAGAGCATTTTCAGTACAAATATGTACTGAAAAATGTACTAGTTTTGTTTCAGTACAAATTTAAGTATATTTTTGTACTGAAAAATGCACTGAATTTTTTTCAGTATATTTTTCAGTACAAATTCATGTACTGAAAAATATACTGAATTTTAAGTACAAATTTAAGTATAAATATGTACTGAAAAATGTACTGAAATTTAAGGACAAATTTAAGTGCAAAAATATACTGATTGCAAAAGTCAGTATAAAAATGTAATGAAAAATATACTGAAATTTAAGGATAATTTTCAGTATAAATATATGCATTGAGAAATATTTGTGCCCAATAATGGAAATAAGAGAAAACGTAAATGTAAGGCATACTTTATAAACTCCAAATCACTCAAAAAGCTCTTAGAATGGTGAAAAAGTGCATGATTTTAAAAGAATTTTTGGCCGGGGGGGGGTTCACTTGGACCCCTGAAACCCCCCCCCCAACAGGAATGCTATTACATTATGAAATTATTTTGGATGCTTCCTTTACAGCAGCCTTTAACCAAACTTAAAAGAGTCTCTCTGTAATCAGGTTTGTTTTGCCTTGTCAAAATATTTTGTTTTGTTTGTGGATTAATAAAGTTTCTTTAGACACATCCTTTAAAGCTGACTCTAATCAAACTGGAGAGGCTAGGTTTACTGTAATCAAGTGATTTCCTTTTTAGAAGTTATGTTTATGGATTTATTAAAAACGGCCTAAATCACTCAAAAAGTTCTTAGAATGGTGAAAAAGTGCATGATTTTAAAAGAATTTTTGGCCTTGTCAACATATTTTGTTTTGTTAATGGATTAATAAAGTTTCTTTAGACACATCCTTTAAAGCAGACTCTAACCAAACTGGAGAGGCTAGGTTTACTGTAATCAAGTGCAATCAATCCTTTTAATAAGTTATGTTTTTGGATTTAATTATTTAAGACGCATCCTGTAATAATATCTGATTGCATTTTCTCCATCAATAACTTTCTTTTTAGCCCGATCAAACCTATCAAATATAATGCATATATAAGGGTTATGTACTGGGAGGTTTTGGATACTCATATTTCCTGAGGGATAAACCCTTTATTTAAAACTGATCGTACATAACATGTGTATTCCATACCTTTTGAGGTTTCTGGATACATTCTACCTTATTAAGTTCTAAAATTCAAAAACATTAAAGGTACACATTTTCTCAGTCTTAAAAATAAGTTTTTCATGAGATTTTCACTCATATTGCTTGAGCAAATTAATTAATTGATATCAAAATTAAAATATATAACATGAACATAGAACCTCATTTGTTCGAGTATAGCCAAATTCATGGTTTAGATGTCAAAGTCAGGAAGATGTCGTAATTCAAAATCTAAGTATATTTTTCAGTATAAATTTACACTTAAATATGCCCTTAAATTTCAGTATATTTTTCAGTACATATTTGCACTTAAAATCACACTAAAATTTCAGTATATTTTTAAGTACATATTTGCACTTAAAATCACACTTAAAATTCAGTTTATTTTTCAGTATAAATATGTACTGAAAAATGTACTTAAAATTTCAGTACATTTTTCAGTACATATTTATACTGAAATTTGCACTGAAATTTTAAGTATATTTTTCAGTACATATTTATACACTGACAAATATACTTAAAAATTCAGTACATTTTTCAGTACATATTTGTACTGAAAACGCTCCTTTCAGTACAAATGCTCTGCCCTAGTGCTTGATTTTCATGAATATTACATTCATGTGTCACGAGAATCAAATATCATAAAAACATAGAAATGGTCTTATCAATATACCTTACTCTGAGTTGTTTCCTTTGTCTCGTGGTTTGAATACTTTGAATTTTGATGACCCAAGAAATTTATATTGACCATCTCCATGAGTGGGCGATAATACATTGTAGAGTGCTTACCCTAAACTGCTGTAAACATGAAGCGTTTTATAATTCTATGCATCCTCTCGATAAATATCTATCGATGGGTGCTTCGAACACCATACTATGCTAATATTATCTCAGAATAGTACATAATGAATGAAGGAATTGTTCTTTATCACTCACTCACTTTTTAGTGCATTTTATGGTGGAATAACTATAAAGTGGATACCATCATGGCCTGTATCATTTTCTAATCCTTTATTTTTAGGCAATTTCTGCGCAAAGAGCTTTGAGGAGCAATTCCAAGAGAAGCATAAGCAACTAACATTAAAGTCATCATATCATAGCCACTGAATGAAAATACAAAGGTGGCCAACATGTAGCATGGTAATAGACAGGTGGCCAACATGGAGCATGGTAATTCACAGGTGACCAACATGGAGCATGGTAATTCACAGGTGACCAACATGGAGCATGGTAATTCAAAGGTGACCAACATGGAGCATGGTAATAAACAGGTGACCAACATGGAGCATGGTAATTCACAGGTGACCAACATGGAGCATGGTAATTCACAGGTGACCAACATGAAGCATGGTAATACACAGGTGGCCAACATGGAGCATGGTAATTCACAGGTGACCAACATGGAGCATGGTTATAGACAGGTGGCCAACATGGAGCATGGTAATTCACAGGTGACCAACATGGAGCATGGTAATTCACAGGTGACCAACATGGAGCATGGTAATTCAAAGGTGACCAACATGGAGCATGGTAATAAACAGGTGACCAACATGGAGCATGGTAATTCACAGGTGAACAACATGGAGCATGGTAATTCACAGGTGACCAACATGGAGCATGGTAATACACAGGTGGCCAACATGGAGCATGGTAATTCACAGGTGACCAACATGGAGCATGGTAATAGACAGGTGGCCAACATGGAGCATGGTAATTCACAGGTGACCAACATGGAGCATGGTAATTCACAGGTGACAAACATGGAGCATGGTAATTCAAAGGTGACCAACATGGAGCATGGTAATAAACAGGTGACCAACATGGAGCATGGTAGTTCACAGGTGACCAACATGGAGTATGGTAATTCACAGGTGACCAAAATGGAGCATGGTAATTCACAGGTGACCAACATGGAGCATGGTAATACACAGATGGCCAACATGGAGCATCATAATAGACACATGTCCAACAAGGAGCGTAGTCATACACAGGTGGCCAACATGGAGCATGGTAATACACAGGTGGCCAACATGGAGCATTGTAATAGACACATGTCCAACAAGGAGTATGGTGATACACAGGTGGCCAACATGGAGCATAGTAATAAACAGGTGACCAACATGGAGCATGGTAATTCACAGGTGACAAACATGGAGCATGGTAATTCACAGGTGACCAACATGGAGCATGGTAATATACAGGTGGCCAACATGGAGCATGGTAATAGACAGGTGGCCAACATGGAGCACTATAATAGACACATGTCCAACAAGGAGCATGGTAATAGACAGGTGGCCAACATGGAGCGTGGACTGCCCAAAGCAAGGATAATATTGACCAGATGTGACCAAGTGAGAGGTTAGTTTGTATATTTTCATCATTCTAAAATAAGTCTACTGCAAAAACTGCCGTTTTCCAAAAAAATCTCATGCAAAACTCCTTTTTTTCAAAAATCTCACGCAAAAACTATCATTTTTTCAAAACTCTACAGCAAAAACTACCATTTTTTATAACATTTACAGCAAAAACTTTTTTTGAATTTAAAAAAAAAGATTTCTGTAAAACTACCGTTTTATTTCAAATCTATGGTTAAAACTCCATTGTTTTAAAACTCTGCCGAAAAAAACTGCCATTTTTCAAAATCTTGACAATTTCTGACAATTTTTACTATTGTTGTGTTAATTGTTTTTCTTACTTACTTACTTTCAGGGATTGTTGGGAAAAGGTTAGAGGCATGCATTGAAGAAAAGAAAAAAGAGAAGATCAAATCGAAAAACAAACGTAACGTAGTAAATGGGATCCCGATCGCAATCCCAACAGAATCCTCTTCCAAGGTAAACTCTTCTCCGGAGTTGGAATTTGTAAGAAAGTCATCTTTAAATAATGTAAACATTTGTATACTTGAACTCATAAAACAGGAAGATAATGATGGATCTACTGATATGGTAAAGGCTGATGTCAACCAGGACAATGTTCTTGATAGTAATCAACAGTCACCAACAATATATGAAAACAGAAAAACAAACAAGGCTTTAACCAAACCAACAAAGAACATGAGAGGTAGAAAGAACAAGGTCAACATCATTAGATGTGATGTTTGTTCAAAAGAATCAGGAAGCAAATCAAAACTTGTAAGACATATGAGAACTCATACTGGTGAGAAAACATTTAAATGTGATATCTGCTTGAAAGTGTTCTCAGTTAAGTCATCTCTTACTACACACAAACACATACACACTGGTGAGAGACCATATAAATGTGATGTCTGCTCTAAGGCATTTTCACGAAGGAGTCTTCTTGTGAAACACAATCTCATACACACAGATGAAAGACCATATAAATACGATGTCTGCTCTGAAGCATTTTCAGAAAATTCATCTCTAACTAAACACAAACTTATACACACAAGTGAACGCCCATATAAATGTGAAATCTGCATGAAATCATTTTTAAAAAAATCCTCTCTAACTCAACACAATCGCATACACACAGGTGAAAGACCACATAAATGTGATGTTTGTTCGAAAACATTTTCACGAAGGAGTGATCTTGTTACACACAAACGGATACACACAGGTGAAAGACCATATAAATGTGATGTCTGCATGAGATCATTTTCACAAAACTCATCTCTAACTCAACACAATCTCATACACACTGGTGAAAGACCACATAAATGTGAAATCTGCATGAAATCATTTTTAGAAAACTCCTCTCTAACTCTACACAATCGAATACACACAGGTGAAAGACCACATAAATGTGATGTTTGTTCTAAGGCATTTTCACGAAGGAGTCATCTTGTGACACACAAACGGATACACACAGGTGAAAGACCATATAAATGTGATGTCTGCTCTAAGGCATTTTCACATAGGAGTCATCTTGTGAGACACAAACGGATACACACAGGTGAAAGACCATATAAATGTGATGTCTGCTCGAGTGCATTTCATGAAAAATCAGCTCTTGTGAAGCACAATCGCATACACACTGGTGAAAGACCATATAAATGCGATGTCTGCTCTAAAGCATTTTTAGAAAATTCATCTCTAACTAAACACAAACTTATACACACAAGTGAACGCCCATATAAATGTGAAATCTGCATGAAATCATTTCTAAAAAAATCCTCTCTAACTCAACACAATCGAATACACACAGGTGAAAGACCACATAAATGTGATGTTTGTTCTAAAGCATTTTCACAAAGGAGTTGTCTTGTGACACACTATCGCATACACACAGGTGAAAGACCACATAAATGTGATGTTTGTACTAAAGCATTTTCACAAAGGAGTTGTCTTGTGACACACTATCGCATACACACAGGTGAAAGACCACATAAATGTGATGTTTGTTCTAAGGCATTTTCACGAAGGAGTCATCTTGTGACACACAAACGGATACACACAGGTGAAAGACCATATAAATGTGATGTCTGCTCTAAGGCATTTTCAGATAGGAGTCATCTTGTGACACACAAACGGATACACACAGGTGAAAGACCATATAAATGTGATGTCTGCTCTAAGGCATTTTCAGATAGGAGTCATCTTGTGACACACAAACGGATACACACTGGTGAAAGACCATATAAATGTGATGTCTGCTCTAAGGCATTTTCACAAAGTGGAACTCTAGCTCAACACAAACAAATTCATAATAATAAAAAGAGTTTACAGAAAACTCAACTCTAATGGTTTAGGTATGCCCTTGCTTCCCACTGCCCCAAACATAACGTACTCAGTTTAAATATCAGCTGTGAGGCGTTTACTTAAAACACAACCACAAACACATAAATACATGTACATGTTGAAAAGCAAGGTTTGTTATAAAAATATCTGCTATAAACGATTTTTAGAAGGATCTAACATACCTCCAAAAACAACTACAAACTGATGCCCTAAATAAAGGTTAGTCCATTAGGCCATTTGAAAAGTTTGCTATAAGTAACCTTTACATACTGGTGATCTTATAATCTACGTAAGTGTTACATTTAACGGAAATTAAACGTTAATAAAAATAATGTTCATGGCTTCAGTCCCTAATAGTAAACATAAAAAAATATGTATAGATGAGTTATTTCATCTTCCTAGCTACATTTTGCATAATCTTTATTTCATCTCAAGCACTGTTATATATTATCTGTATCTCAAAATTGTTCTATAATCAAGCTAAAATAGTTCTTCCTTTTTAAACTGTGGTTGTCTGACCTTTCATCAACTATATTAGTTAAAGGAATCCTATGAAAACTGTGTCATTCGTTATGAAGCTAAAAGCTAAACTACAATGTGGAACTAAATGTCCATGAGCGCAAATATTTTCCTTAGAAAGCTATGTGTCACCCTTTAATAAAGCTACAAGCTACTATTTTCAAAATCACATCTTCATGATTATAACATTGTTCTAAGTTTGGATAACATTTTAAAAATAAACTTGTATGATATTTTTAAAAGCTAAAAGCTATTCTCCTATTTAGAATCAAACAACAGTATATATACACTTCTTGCAATAAAGGCGGATCCTAGGATGAAGAGGACAGTTTAACTTATGGGGCACTACCCTTGCCTCTCCTGTAACCACGTGACTGCATTGGCAAACAAAGGAATGTGTTAGTGATCACTTTAATGGCTGCAGTGAGGTGGGGTGTGTGAATATAATATATTGCTATGGTCAGAAATAAATGTTTCTCCAGGAACTGTCGATACACATCAGATCAATGTTAGTTACAACATCTAATTACATTTAAATGATTCATAAACAATGCATATTCAAGCATTTAAAAATACATATTCAGTTGCACTTAACTACACCAATCATAAAAGATTCTTTGTCTGTAGGTGGGATGATCTCACCAAAGAGAGAATTCTCAAAGATGTATATGTATACCTGGGGACAATATCAGTATATTTGTCTTCCCATAAACAAAGGCTTTATAAATAAATATTTCAGTGTCATCCAAACTGATAAAGTTGATAGTGCATGAAATATGAAATGTCAGCCTAGTTTGATTTGTTGCAATTAATAAATTCAAGTAAAAGAGTAAATCTGAACAACATGCTACCAAGCGTGCAAGCTTAATTTACAACTCTGTACGACAAACATTCAAATTTTTATGACAAAGGGCTATAATGGCCAGAGCATTGAATTCAGATCTGAATGCAATTACTCAGATGCGAGTAGGTAGTTACCAGTTTCGCCACCAGGTGGCTGATTCTGGGGAATTAACATGGCAGGGTATTACAAAATTCCCCTAAAGTTGAAATTGCATCAGTTTTAGTGGTTCACTTTTCATATTACCTTTATGTATCTGATAGTTATACAAATTAAAATATGAACAGTAAAAGAAAATATTATCTGCCCAACACAAGAAAAGATATTTCACTTTTTGTGGTTTTACAACATGGGGTCTATGGGGAATCTCCCCGACCTAAAAGTCACATTTTCAAAGAAAATTAAATTTTCAAAGTTGTTAAACTCTTTTCAAAACCACATTTCTAAATGTAATTTTACATGTAGATTCCAAATATGACATCGGTTTGACTGACGTAAATCAAGATTATTTCTACTCGCATTTGGGATATTATTTATGAACTGGGAATTTCAAAGAATTAATGAAACCAACACTTGTATTTGACTCCACTAAAATAGTGTACATTTAAATATGACCCAGTCAAAATATTTTTGTCTTCCCTAAAATATAAATACAAAACAGAAATAGTGCATTTCTGTTACATAAGAATGGCGCTAATTATGCCATTATACCATTGGAAACTTACTTATGAGTAAATGTCAATTTCAAGTTAAAAATAGCATGTAATTTAAAGATTTACTCAAAGTGTGTAAATCATGATCAAAATGAAAAAGTAAATCATTGTTTAGATTAATTTATTCTAAAATTCATAAAAGTTTTGTAGAAATCCCATCTTGAATACATTTGTAAAAATCCTATGTACTCTTATATTAATTTCTTGTAAATACATGTATGTTATGTTGTGATAAAAAATCCTATTTTTCATTTAAAAACAGATAATACACTTCAATAGCATAAATTACATATTTAATTTACTGTCCATGGCTCATTGTAAGAGTGATCCCCAGACCCAGGAGATGTGTATGTGGGGGGGGGGTTCAGGAAAACTGGAGTATTTGTTCATTTTTAGATTTTTAGGAACTCCAGCTTTATCACCATGGTTTGAAACTGTCCCATATTAAGGATCAAAGAATATATTTATGTTTTATGTTAGAAACTGTCCCATATTAAAGATCAAATAATATATTTATGTTTAATGTTAGAAACTGTCCCATATTAAGGATCGAAGAACATATTTATGTTTAATGTTAGAAACTGTCCGTTATTAAGGATCAAAGAATATACTGTATTTATGTTTAATGTTAGAAACTGTCCCATATTAAGGATCAAAGAATATATTTATGTTTTATGTTAGAAACTGTCTCATTAAAGGATTAAAGCTTATGATTAATTTTAAGCTTCAGCTTGGAATCTTTAAACTGTGTGATATCAAAATCCACTTGAAGATCTGAAAGCAAATTGGCTTCCCTAAGCGAAAAGACTGATATAAATACTTGTTTCAGTCTAGTTGAAGTCATTACTGATCTGACTTGCCTAGCAATCACATCACAACTCTAAACACACAAGTAAAATGGATTCCTCAGCGATGATAAAATCTGATGTCTGCAGAGTGGCAGAAGAAACACACCACATTGATCTGGATCAAGTGGCTGAACAACTCGATGTTGCATACAGAAAGTTTATAAGAGCTAAGAAGAACCACAAAGAGGCACATCTCTACTCTCTGCATCTACAGCTAAATATACTGAATAACATAAAGATGATGTACTACCACTATGCAACTGAGATGGCTGCTGTAGTAGAGGAGCTCAAGAGCAAAGTTGAACAGATATAGATTCAAGGGGTTGACAATTCCCTCCATACTGATGATGAATATCAAAAAATGCTCGCATGTGGTATTTCTGGCTTCAACAATTTATCCAGCTTCTTTCATCTGAGTGATGCACTACAAGACCGAGCACAACACTTTGTCAGTTATTGCAAACAGTCCCTTTAAGGACCATCAAATTCTTCACAAAAGAGAAATTTCATGATGAATACAGGGGCGTAGCCAGCTTTTAGGGGGGGAGGTGTGATCGCCAAAAACAAATCTGGTTTTCAGTCAGGTAGGTGCAATCGTGGCATAAGAAATCCAAAATATTGAAGATTTGCTTTGGATTTTTAAAAAATTGATGCAATTTCCTTCAAAATTGAGCTAAAAGCTTCAACTAAAAAGCATTTTAAAGCTCATTTCTTCTTTCATCTACTGGATCTATTTTTTTTGGTTATGGGGAGGGGGTTGCAATCGCACCCTCGCACCCCCTCCTGGCTACGCCTGTGGAATGTCATCTGGAGTCCAAGTGAGATCACTAAAATCATTAAAAATAACATGCAAAATGTCACCATCTGCCATTTGTTACAGACACTAAATGTTAAACACCAACTGCCATTGTCACTCAAATATCATCCCATAACAAAAATTTGAATCTTCCTCCCATTAAATCTGCAAGGGTTTATATGATACTGAAATATCTTTTGGATATTTGAAAGGGTTTATCAGTTCATATGATGGTAACTATTTGCAAGGGTGACCTCATTCATTATAAATTCATGCTGGATCAGACTTCATTCCAGCAGTTCAACATGTATACTTGTTGCCTGTTTAGTATAGTAAGACAGTAAGTTAGACACACATCTCCAAAGCAATAAGTACATATGATAAGGAAGAAAGGAGTCTTTATGTTGCAATATTGGTATAACACATACAACAATCAGGTGAGCATATTTTGACAATTTTACTAGCCTGAGAGAGTATCCAATTTAGGAACAGGATATGGGGGAGGGGTACCTTTTTAAAGAAATTAGCCTGTAAATGCTTATCCCATGCCAGAACTATAGTCCTGAGAACGTCTCAATCTTTTGCCTGTACGATTACAATATGGGAGAATTTCCTACGCCTCTTACACTTAAGATACCTACTTCAATAAATTCCTTGGTATTTTGGCATTCTTTTTGATAGTTGAATCCACAATTATCTGGGTTTATCGGCAGAACAAAGAATTTTTGTTTTTGATCACAATAAATGTGTGTAATATTCAACTTATTTCAACCGTCAAATTCCTCCATTTATTGGTACTTCCGGGCCAGTCAAATGGGGAATCCCCTTTTAAATCCAACTGCCATCTTGAAAAGTGATGGAATCTCTCTCGACGATGAAAAATATAAAAATGTTCCTGTTCTGCTGATAAACCCAGATAATTGTGGATTCAACAACACGAAAAGAATGCTAAAATACCAAGGTATCTATTGAAGTAGGTATCTTAGTGTAAGAGGTGTAGAAAATTCTATAGTCCTGGCACGGACGGAAACGGAAACACTGAAGTACATGTAAATGCATTTTTAACAATGGCATCATTTAGGAACAAGAGTTCCACCCACATCTTGATCCATCAAGGTATTTCATACACTGGTTTAACAGTATGTCGACCCACGACTCACTGTGCATCAAGGAGAAAAGATAAACATTGAGTGGGGGGGGGGGTAAACTCTTGTTCCAATGCCTCTGATTTGGTGCATTAGTTCAGACAATAGAAAGTTGTTATCTGAAAATATTGTTGAAGGAAAGAAGGACAGCTGCAATGAAAACAGATTGCTGGATAGATGGACATACAGATGGTGGGTACTTCCATAGGATCGCCATATTAGCCAAAATGCAGAAATAATTTTGTCTACAATATTTATGCCTTATAAGGCCCCATTTAAAGTTTAAACCACTTTTGCTCCTATTGTTGTCTTACCCAATGTTATCAAAGTGTAATATGTGAAACTTTTTGTTTTAATTCAAAAAGTGATTTTTAAAGGACTTTTTGATCGAGAAATCATGAATTTGTTGAAAACTAACTTTAAGAGGTCACACATAACTTTTATTAAGATATGATTATCTACACCAATGCATAGCATTCATTTTCACATGTTTTTGCCAACAATTAAGAAAATTGGTTCATAAATAATAGTCTATAAGCGGGAAATCAACTTATCCATACATGAAAATGGTTCAGAGAAAAACACATTTCAAAATTTTAGTTCTCATAGAAACCAATGGTACAATAATATTTAAAACATGATATATTCATCCTCCTTTTAACCTGGTTATTCAATCAACATACTATTAGATATATTTTAAGTTTAGCATATTTAGAAAAAGATTGACATGGACATTTTTGCCAAATGAGTGATGTCACGATGTAGTCACTTAGGTTGCAAAATATTTTTGATCTGCTAAAACACTGAAGTGGCACATTAAATATGTCATTTTATAATTGAAACAAGGTATCAACATGACAAAATGTCACCACCATATTGCTCATAATATTATGAGTTCAATCTTAAGTCATGTTTGAATTTCTGAGAACTTGAGATAGATGATTTTGAAAAAATAAATTGGTCAACTTGAAGCAAGTTGAAAAAATACCTTTTTTACCCTGAGAAGGTCATTGAAGGTGAAATCTCAAATCTAAATTCAGATGTGAACTTCTGAGAACTTGAAGATGATTTTGAAAAAAATTTGAAGCAAAATGAAAAAAGATCTTTTTGACCTTGAGAAGGTCAATGAAGGTCACATCTTTTTTGACCTTAAGAAGGTCATTGAAGGTCAAATTTATAGCCAGATGTGAACTTCTGAGAACTTGTAGATAATTATGAATAAATAAATTGGTCAAATTGAAGCAAGTTGTAAAAAGACCTTTAGACCTTTTTTACCTCAAGAAGGTCGTTGAAGGTCAAATCTCAAATCAAAAGTCAAATTTGAACTTATGATAACTTGAGAATGTCATTGAAAGTCAAATTTATAGCCAGATGTGAACTTCTGAGAACTTAGAGATAATTTTGAAAAAAATTGGTAAATTTGAAGCAAGTTGAAAAAAGACCTTTTGACCTCGAGAAGGTCGTTGAAGGTCAAATTTCAAATCATAAGCCAGATTTGAACTTCCGATAACTTATAGATGATTTTGAAAAAAAAATTGGTCAATTTGAAACAAGTTGAAAAAAGACCTTTTGACCTTTTTTGACCTTGAGAAAGTCGTTGAAGGTTTACGTTTTTCACAAAAAATGGCCGCCATTTTGAAATTTGGTGGCCATATTTATAACCTTTTCTTCAGTGAAGCTCATTTGTCCCTAGACATCAGCATATAAATTTGAAAATAATCCATCCACTGGTAATTGAGTTACCAAAAAATGGCTGCCATTTTAAAATTTGGTTGCCATCTTGAATATCTCTTTTCTTCAGCGAAGCTCCTTTGACCCTTGGCATCAGCGTTTAAAATTTAACTAGATCCCTCAACTGGTATTTGAGTTATTTTTAAATAAAAATGGAGACTATATATTGGAACTACAAAGCCTGCCTATGCTAACAATGATCTTTAACTAGCTTGTCTATGTGATCCTGTTATTCCTATGTACTAGATACAGAATCAATTTGACAAACTGACATACATGTAACTATAAAGTCTTTACCAAAATGATCTGTATCCTTTTCTAATGTGATGCTTTATATTTAGGTAATTTCTGTGCTAACAGCTTTTGAGGAGCAAATTCAAAAGAAGCCTAGCAACAAGCACTGCAGTCATCATATCATCATCATAATAGATCCATAGACACTGACATGGAGCATGATAATACAAAGGTGGCTAACATGGAACATGGGCTTCCAAAAGCAAGGATAATATTGACTAGGTGTGACCAAGTGAGAGGTGAGTTTGTATTCATCATGGAATTAATTTTTTGAAACTTGAATCCAGTTCTCATTTTAAAAATCAATTTCTAGCTGTCATGACGAGTTTAAAATGCAGGGCCCTAAAAGGATTGGTATCATTATGGTGAACTTTTTGAACACATGTTTCTCTTAAACAAGTCATCAAAAAATTATGTTAATATTACACATCATCAATTTAATGGTCATCTTTTGAATGGTAACAATTTAATTTGAAAAATATATACCTTTCTCTATATTGCTTTAGAAAATACATCAGACACTTCTTGTTCTTGGTATCATATGTTCGGAATGAAATGAAACATCTATCTGAACCTCATTTTAACAAAATCAAAAAAGCATCTTATTCATGAAATAAAAGGTTTAGTTTAATTTTTATCTATTTGGTTTTTTTTGAAAAATGTTGTATATGCTATTTTGGTCCAACAAGGTACAGAAAGATATTTTATTTCATTCTCAAGAATTGATAGAAAGGAAAAACACAATTGCACTAGAAAAAAAAAGTTAACAAAAACAGTTATATAAAATATATATAAAAATAATCCAATTGTTGTCAATCAGTCAATATTACATAAAGGGCCGTGTTTTTAAAGAATGTTTTCAATAATTTGTTTGAGAGAAAAGCATTGTTGAATTCAGTTCACCATATCGATACCAATCTTTTCCAATTTTAGAAATGATATACTGTACCATGAAACAGTTGTTTTTACACCTGAACCCATCCTAATATAAATGTGTGACTATTTTCTTCAACCAGATTGAAATCTCAAATTTTAGCCTCTATTATCTTGAAAACATGTTTTAAGATAGTAAAGGATTAATACTGAAACTCTGTCATGGTTGAATTCTTTAATACTTAAAATATGACCTTCACTTAAAACGCAATATGTGAACATATTTTATTTTTACATTATTCATACAACAGACAATATTATAATTAGTTGAAGTAGTTATCAACTGTTTTTTCTGCATAATAAAAAAGCGCAAATGTAGTGTTAAAAAAAGTTGAACAAGGAATCGAACCACAGTCTTCGTCTTGGTCAGCCAGAATTCTCTACCCTAGAGCAGCAATCTAATCATGAAAATTAAGAGTAATTCTACGCTACTTATTCTAGTGTTAGTTAGAAGTCCAATGATCACTTCGAACCAAGAAATGTTTTGGAAATAACTTGCAATCAAAGGAACAATACTCAAAATGAAATTTCCCCATTTGTTCATCATTATATATTTTCTCAAAATATCACTACCTCCCTCGGAACAACTTACAATGTTTCTATTGAAAGGTCATTGACAGCCTTAAACAGAATATTTTCTGATAATTTTGCTTTTGCAGAGTCACACTTTTAGGCTTTTACTATTGTTGCTTTATGTATTTTTATCACTTTTTCACTTTAAGGGATTGTCGGGGAAAAGTTTGAGGCATGCAATGAAGAAAAGATTGAAGAGAAGAACAAATGGAAAAAGAAAAAGGAAGAACAAAGGAAATGGAAGGAAACAAATGGAATCCCATTCCCAACAGCATCATCTTCCAAGGCCAACTCTTCTACTGAGTTGGAATCAGCTATAAAGCCATCTCTAAATGATGGAAGTGTTTGTATACTTGAACTCATAAAACAGGAAGATAATGATGGATCTACCGATGTGGTTACGGTTGATGTCAACCAGGACAATGTTCTTAATAGCAATCAACAGTCACCAACAATATATGATAATAGAAATACAAACAAGGCTTTAACCAAATTAACAGAGAACAAGAGAGGTAGAAAGAACAAGGACAAAATCATTAATTGTGATGTTTGTTCAAAAATATTTAGCAGCAAATCTGGACTTGTAACACATATGCGAACTCATATGAGTGAGAAACCATTTAAATGTGATATCTGCTTGAAAGTGTTCTCAGTTAAGTCATCTCTTACTACACATAAATACATACACACTGGTGAGAGACTATATAAATGTGATGTATGCATGAGATCATTTTCAAAAAACTCATCTCTAATGAATCACAATCGCATACACACTGGTGAAAGAGCATATGAATGTGATGTATGCTCGAGGGCATTTTCACGAAGGAGTTCTCTTGTGAGACACAATCGCACACACACTGGTGAAAGACCATTTAAATGTGATGTATGCTCGAGGGCATTTTCACTAAGAAGTCATCTTGTGAGACACAATCGCACACACACTGGTGACAGACCATATGAATGTGATGTTTGCTCTAAGGTATTTTCATATAAATCATCTCTAACTATACATAATTGCATACACAGTGGTGAAAGAGCATATTAGTGTGAAATCTGCTCCAAGGTATTTTCAGATACTTCAACTCTAACTAAACATAAAGGCATACACACAGGTGATAGAGCATATCAGTGTGAAATCTGCTCCAAGGTATTTTCAGAGACTTCAACTCTAACTAAACACAAATGCATACACACTGGTGAAAGACCATATAAATGCAAAATCTGCTCTCGGGCATTTTTGCAAAAGGGTAATCTTACTTTTCACAAATGTATACATACTGGGGAAAACAAGTTCAAATGTGATATTTGCCACAAAGCATTTTCACAGAATTCACATCTTGTTATTCACAATCGCATACACACAGGTGAAAGACCATATAAATGTGATGTCTGCTCTAAGGCATTTTCAGAAAGGAGTCATCTTGTGAAACACAATCTCATACACACTGGTGAAAGACCACATAAATGTGATGTTTGTTCTAAAGCATTTTCACAAAGGAGTTGTCTTGTGACACACTATTGCATACACACAGGTGAAAGACCACATAAATGTGATGTTTGTTCTAAAGCATTTTCACGAAGGAGTCATCTTGTGACACACAAACGGATACACACAGGTGAAAGACCATATAAATGTGTTGTCTGCTCGAGTGCATTTCATGAAAAATCAGCTCTTGTGACACACAATCGCATACACACTGGTGAAAGACCATATAAATGTGATGTCTGCTTGAGTGCATTTCATGAAAAATCAGCTCTTGTGACACACAATCGCATACACACTGGTGAAAGACCATATAAATGCAATGTCTGCATGAGATCATTTTCACATAACTCATCTCTTACTATACACAATCGCATACACACTGGGGAAAGACCATATAAATGTGATGTCTGCTCTGAAGCATTTTCAGAAAATTCATCTCTAACTCAACACAAACGTATACACACAGGTGAACGCCCATATAAATGTGATGTTTGCTCCAAGGCATTTTCACGAAGGAGTCATCTTGGGACACACAAACGGATACACACAGGTGAACGCCCATATAAATGTGATGTTTGCTCCAAGGCATTTTCACGAAGGAGTCATTTTGTGCGACACAATCTCATACACACAGATGAAAGACCATTTAAATGTGATGTATGCTCTGAAGCATTTTCAGAAAATTCATCTCTAACTCAACACAAACGTATACACACAGGTGAACACCCATATAAATGTGATGTTTGCTCCATTGCATTTTCACAAAGGAGTCATCTTGGGACACACAAACGGATACACACAGGTGAACGCCCATATAAATGTGATGTTTGCTCCAAGGCATTTTCACAAATGAGTCATCTTGTGAGACACAAACGGATACACACAGGTGAAAGACCATATAAATGTGATGTCTGCTCTAAGGCATTTTCAATAAGGAGTACTCTTGTGAGACACAATCGCATACACACAGGTGAAAGACCATTTAAATGCGATGTCTGCTCCAAGGCATTTTCACGAAGGAGTCATCTTGTGATACACAAACGGATACACACAGGTGAAAGACCATATAAATGCGATGTCTGCTCTAAGGCATTTTCAATAAGGAGTACTCTTGTGACACACAATCGCATACATACATAATGTGATGTCTGCATGAGATCATTTTCACAAGAAATATATCTCACAATACACAAATGCATACATACAGGTGAGAGACCATAAAATGTTATGTCTGCTCTAAGGCATTTTCATGGAGGAGTTATCTTTTGACTCACAATCGCATACCAACTGGTGAAAGACCATAAAAATGTGATTTCTGTTCAAAGGCATTTCATGCAAAATCAGCTCTTGTGACACACAATTGCACACACACTGGTGAAAGACAATATAAATGTGATGTCTGCTCGAGAGCATTTCATGCAAAATCAGATCTAACTGGACACAATTGCACACACACTGGTGAAAGACCATATAAATGTGATGTCTGCATAAGATAATTTTCATATCTCCAACTACGCATAAACGTGTACACATGGATGAAAGACCATATAAATGTGATGCCTACTCAAAAGCATTTAATGCAAAATGGACCTTGTGAAACATAATCAAGGATACACAGGTGCAAGACAATATTAATGTGATGTCTGCTCAAAGGCATTTCATGGGAAAAGCAGATCTATTGAAAGCTGCGCTAAGGCATTTTTACAAAGCTCAGCTCTAGCTTCACACAATGGCATACACACAGATATCTTGCTCAAAACAAACAAATATATACTGGTGAATATATATTTTTGTTTGAGTTTGATGTTAAAAACCTTCTGATATTATGGCTCAAAGACAAAATTTATGTTGACATTAAAAATATTAATAGTTAAGGATCAAAGACTAGATTCATGTTTAATGTTAGAAACTGATAACTAACAATCAATAAATAGAGGATATCCTTTGAATTTTGAGGGATACCATTTTTATCCATGAGTGGATATCGTCCATCTTCACGAGTGAGCGCAGCTTTTTATGAAGGTGTAGTCTTTAAGAAAAGTGTCTGAAAGTCCAAACTTCTTTGAGCCTTGTTCCTCCAAAAACCTTGAAATACTGGAAAATTTGCTTCTAGGTGAGGTTGGCTCATACTCACTGCCATCCTTTTTGAGAAGATTTGTAAAAAATCTTGAAAATAATTGTCCATATCCGTTGGGCATATGTCCATTACTGCAAGCTTTTCACCTTTATTTCTTAAGAGAGAATCAGAAATAGCAAGCAGGCTAAACAATTTTTTTTTCAATTTTAGATTATTTTTGTCTCATTTAAAAAGTATAAGTATAAGGACTATTCTGTACTTTTTTCAAAAGTCTATACTTAAATGTTGTGAAAAGTTATAATCGAAAAACCATCTTTCGGAGTAAAGTCCATCTGCGCCGATTTCAATAACTTGATCAGAACTGGGTTCCAACAGAATTCCTACAAACTCATGAATGAAATAGTTATTGCATCGAATACTTACTTTTGTCAAAATCAAAGTAGAACTCTAGTTAAAAAATATATTGTGCTAAATTATTGCCATTTCTTAGTAAAATGTCGTTCTCCGGTACGTTCCCAAAATTATTCGATGGTACCCCGTGTGTTAGCGTTTTTCTGAGTGTCACGAAGATCTTTTTGGATCTCTGTTTAGATACCTGGAAGTTGGTCTGTCAATTTCACTAGAATTATTGTTGATATCATTACTACTTTGCTCTTAAAATTACTTTAAACTTTCCAATAATAAAGACTGACAACCTAACTACTTTGTGTGTTAATTTCATGGAGAAACGATATATTTTATGTAGTTTTCTTGATAGTTTTTAATATAGGGACCCTGCCACCAGGAACGGTATTCGCACATAGCAACTTTCAGCCTTTAATGTTGCTGCCATTTGACGTTTCGCAAGTCTTGGCCACTATCTTTCTTTTAAATTTTGAATGTTAAACCTTGTTAGTTTACTTCCTTTGTTACTAGGCAATTTATTAATTGTGTTTTAATTATAATGTCACAAATGACAATGGCCGTATGTGTCGAATTCTAAGAAAATGACATTAGATAAGCAACCCTCATTCTGGTATAATTTTTGCTCCAATATTGCTGCTGAAATGCAGAACATGAAGGAAATCAAAGTGGAACAAAGAATACTACAAGATACTCTCACTATTATTGACCTTTAGCAGCTACCATTTGCACGATAAACTTAGATATGGCTCCGCGTGATTTTCTCCCTTTTCTCCAAGTTAAAAGGAGGGTTGAAAGAAACTGGTTTTTACTCATTGGATGAGGTTTATAGTGGTATTCCAGGAACATATGTATCACATAAGCAATGGTGGTTTCATAGATGTCTTCATTCATTGGTAAAGAGGTATGAAAAATGTGTTCAAATTCGTGGAAAATATGTTGAAAAGTACGTCTTAAAATGTGAAGATGATGATGATGGCAGATGACACTCAGATTGAAAATCGGAAATTCTCTCATATCATGACTGGTGTTAGGTTGTGCACCTGCACCTAAAGTATTTGCCATATTATAACAGTTGTGACGTGATTTGCTATATTTAAATACCGTTCTGGGTGGCAGGGACTCAGTATTAAAAAATATTTAGAAAAGTGTATAAACTATATTATTTCCTCTTGAAACGTATACACAAAGTTGTTTAGATGTTGATCTTTATTACATGTATCTGAAAGTTTCGTGTAATTATATTAGAAAATAGCAAAGTAAGAGCAAGGCGTCCAAGACCTTTGCATCACCCCTCATATATGTATGTTTTGTTTAATAACTGTCTCATATTTAAGATGAAAGAATATATTTATGTTTAATGTTAGAACTCGTCTGATATTGTATGATATTAAAGATCAAAGAATAATCTTTATGTTTGAATTTTGTCGTTTAGGGTGCAAAAATGTTCGAAATTTTTTAAAACTAAATTTTTAAAATGCTTTTTTTCCCAGAGTCACTTTTGTGCATGGATGACTTCATTTCTCTCTTATTTAGCAACCAATTTTCTTCATCTTTTTTGAAATAAATTTCATGTATCACATTTTGATAACATTGGGTAAGGCTACAATATATACCAAATTTGGGCCTTTAAGTATAATGTATTATATGGAAATAACATTTTTTGTATAAACTGTATTGTATAATGATATCCTATAGTAGTGTTGAGTTAAGTGTAGTGTAGTGTAGTTATATATATTTTGTAATGAATAATACATTAGGTCATATCTAAATAGTCAATAAAAGATATATTTAGGATCAAAGAATATATTTAATAT